AACTTTCCCATCGTCCACGACCACATTACACACTGAGATGGGGCAGTTTGTTGTTTTTCGCAAAAGCAGACATTTGTGTCTGAGAGAGGAGGACGTGACTGCAGACAAACTTGGTCGAATTTTTCAGGTGAAAACTACCAAGTGCATATGTTTCACTAGTTAACAGTTCATTGTTTTTGACCTGACCTGTTATTTTATGAACCTCCACCTGCAGATGTGCATCAGAGAGTCTACTCAATCCATTTTCAGAGCAAAATCTTCTGATGGTCCTCGGGGAGAAACACTTTTCCTCTCCATAATGGTGAGAAATAGCCTCAGAGATTGCTGTAGAAGGCAATCCATTTCTTGCCATACACAATTTCTTCATAGTGTAGTCAAGGCCGGATTAACCATTTGGGCAATTGGGCAATTGCTCTGGGGCCCACGGTCTCTAAAGGGCCCTGGGCAGTGAAGGCTGTGGGATATGTGTGGGACATGTCTCTCGGAGTCCCCGCACTTCCTGCATCTGCGCTCTATGGCTGTGTCCAGTCAGTGGAACTGTGCTAGTTGCTGGTTGCTAGTATTTATATGTGTTTTAGCCACTAAGGAGAGGTGTGTGATTTAATAAGACAGGATGATAAATCACTCAACAGACCTCTAAAAATGTGTCCCCCTCTCTTCTGAGATGATGGTTACACCCTTGAGTGAAGGCACCAGCTAAATATCTGGTTTTCTCCTGCTTTTGTTAAACTGTCTGTTGGAGCTCTTGTGCTGCACAGAGAGGCTGCCTGTCACTGTGAACGTTAGTTGACATCTTCTCCTCATTAGTCAGTCCACATGAGGCGGGTCAGGTGACTGAGATGGTTGCGTAATGTCAAGCGTCGCTTTTGTGAAATTGTAGGACACTTCCCTCGATCTCAATGTAGTGGGTCATGTTTACCAGGTTATACTGATGTGTTTTGTTTTTATAGCATCATCATTTATAGCATTATAGTGTCATTTGTAGTTCTATGAGCATTTGTACATCAAAATACACTTAGGATTGTATTGATACATGTATTGATACATGTCGATACTGTATCACTGAATACTGACACCTGCTGGACCGTAAAAATCACTACAGGTAACCTAGTTGACAGACTCAACTACACTGATTTGATAACCTATACAATAATATAATAAAAAAATAATATAATTTAAGCCATTGTTTTATATTCTATTATTTCATACCTCAATTTACATTTAAAATATCTTTGATATTTTTTATGCAATCTGTAAATAATGTGAACATGTCAAGTTGTATGGATTGTCCATAATTTACACAGAGTTGCTAGCCTCATTTTGCAGGTATATGGACATATACAGCAATCACACGGATTGTTTTCAACTTTTACAGATTTTCAAAAACTCTGTTTCATATTTATGCTAAAAATACAATAAAAAATAATATCAAACAACCAATCCTTCAACCCGCTCTGCTGCTAGAAATAAGTTCTCTACTCCTCCTGTTTCTTTCTGCTTTGCTCTGCAGATGCCACCCCACCCCACACACACACACACACACACACACACACACACACACCCGCGTGTCAGTAATGCTGATTTTTGAGTCTACAAAATGTCCGAAGGGATTGACATGTATGGATATGAGATCAAAAAGGTGGAAACCTTTATTTTGGCTTGAGGTTGCTTCATAATTCTTGATGATGAACCACAAAAGATCAGAGATTCTTTTGACAGAAACGCTTCCTTATAAACCTAATCTGGCATGTCACTGTCAGTCCGAAACAGTTGCTATATCGGTCACGTGACGTTTTTAGCGATAGGCGCAACGACACAGGGTTTCATTCTGTGAGCTTGACGCATGCGTTGACGCATCGGTGTTGCTCGACCCATCACTATTATTTAGACTGCTGGAGCACAAACTGAGCACATTTCTTCACTCTACTGTTGTCTTTAGACTGTCTCCTCTACATGTTTATTGTAATTATTTCTATCATTAACATGATTTTTCTTTGTCTCTTTTTCAGAAGAAGGTGCACCTGGACCAGTTCTTCTGTGTTTGTCTGTGTCTCTTTCCTGTCCCTCAATCAGCCGGTTGAGGCAGATGGCCACCTGCCCTGAGCCTGGTTCTGCTGGAGGTTTCTTCCTGATTAGCAGGGAGTTTTTGCTGTCCACCGTTTGCTCAGGATGGGAGACTGTGATGAAGTGATTCAATGCAATCTGCTGGTTTTTTCTTTAGATTGTTCTTTTTTCTTATACAGTGCCCTGAGGCAACGTATGTTGTGACTTGGCGCTATATAAATAAACTGAATTGAATAATTGTAAACCTATGTTTTAGCAAGTCAGTAAGGACCTGGGGTCTCATTTATAAAGGATTGCGTGGAAATCATACTAAAAGTGAACGTACGGCCAAAAGGCGGAAATGGCG